GAGATTGTCCTTACTATTAACTCAAACTCCTTCACTCACATAAATGTATTAAATTAATCCAAGCCCAAAGTCAAGAGTAAACTCATTTCTTATTTACAATTTAAGTCCTAATTATAATTTAGGGTGCTATTGCAATAAAATTTCAAAGTTCAGGGTGAAATTGGTAAAAAGGTCAATTTGGAGTGAAATTGCAACAAAAGGTTCAAGTTCAAGGTGAAATTCGCAAAAAGGTCAAATCAGAGTGAAATTGCAACAAAACCTAAAGTTGAGAGTGAAATAATATATTAAGCCAATATGCTTCAAGATAAATAAAACAAAAATAAAAACTTTTTTTTTTTTGAACTTAAAATATAAACTATTTACACAGTTGTGTACAAGCAAAAAATACTACTACCTCTGTTCCATAATACTTGTCACATTTGAAATTTTACATCCCTTAAGAAAATCATTAAATTAAATTTAACATTTTTTTATTTTTTATTGGTCTCTCGTATGCTCTCTGAGCATGTTCTTTATTATGTGTTTAGCCACTTTTTAAACCCTAATCGATGTTTCTTTTTGTCCTCTGATCTTTTGTTTCTCAGGATCCACGATTGCAAGACATGTCTATCGACGATGCACAGGACGAGGCTATGCTAGTAGGAAACGTGGTAGTGAGGGAAACAGCTAAGTATGAGTTTTGCCTTGAGGGTATGTTCCTTACGTTAAATACCATCAACTTTAACACCATGAAAACTACATTTGCGAATCTCTAGCACCCTCTGGGAGGGGTAGGTATAACGGAACTTGGTGCGAAGCGATACCTTTTTAGGTTTTACAATGATGTTGATATGGAGCGATTTATGGAAGGTTCTCCATGGAATTTCATAAACACTTGTTGTTATGGCACAAGCTAGTGGAAGGTGAGGATCCTTTCTTGGTCCCGTTGGTAAAGGTTGAGTTTTGGGTATAGGTGCATGACTTACCCAAAGGTTTTATGCAGGAACCCATTGCTTGGAGTTTGGGGAATTTTGTTGGGGAGTTTGTAGAATATGATACTAAGGTGCTCATGACAACTGCTTCGACTTTCATGAGGATTAGGGTTCAGATAGATACCTGTTGACCTCTCCAACAAAAGAAAAAACTTATGGTACCTAGTGGAGATGTGTTTTTTTTTTTATTTTATTTTGATATAAAAGAATAACTACCTTCTGCTTCTTGTATGGTCGCCTGAGGCACATTGATAGTTTCTGTTAGATTCGGCTTAATCGGAGAAAAGAAGATATCTGCCTTGAGTGGGATAATAGCATAAGGATTCCTCCTCGCAGGCAGACCCAACGATTGAATGTTTGGTTGCATGATATGGAAGGAGATTCTATTTCCTTTTCAAGTACATATATGTCTAGCATGGTCAACTCCAATAATCTCGGGTTTTAAAAGTCTATGAATTTAGGGATTCTTTTATAGGACAATTCACTCAAAAAAATGGGAACCATGGGTAATCAAGTATGATGGATGTGGAAAGAAATGGGCCAGGCCTAGAAGAAAAGGTAGTGAGTCAGCTTGAAAATAAGGCCTTAGCAAAAGCAGTAGATGGCAAAAAAAAAGTCCCAAGAAACTCAACAAATTGGCTTCCATCGTTTCTAACTCTAAGGATTCAACGACAGCTTCCTCTCACCCCTTTTCGGCTGATCTTGAACTGAGCATTATGAAAAGCTTGTGTTGGAACTGTCAAGGCCTCAGTCAACCTCACTCAGTTAGGTTACTCGAGGAAATTACCTTGAGATGTAGATCAGGTGTGGTTTTTCTGATTGAAACTTTGGCTCATTAAGAAAACGTGGTTCAGGTTCATCGAACATTGGGTTTTGATAGCAGTTTTGTTCTTGATTGGATTGGAAGGGGAGGTGGTCTAGCAGTTTTGTGGAAGACTCACGTGGATATCCAAATATAGGGTTTTTCTAATAACTTCATAGGCTGTGTTTTTATGGTGGTTGGTATATTGAGAAAGGTGACCCGCTTTTGTGGATTCCCTGAATGTCATAGGCGAAGAAAATTGTGGAACTTCTAAGAGCGCTGGCTTGTCAGGATATGAAGCCGTGGTTATGTCTCAGTAATTTTAATGACCTATTAAGGGAGGATAAGAAGTTGGGAGGAGAACCCTAGTCTCGTTTTTTTTTATAAAGGGTTTTTAACAAGTTGTTAGCGATTGTGGGTTGATAGAAGTTCCATTGAGCGGATCCAGGTTTACATGGGTTCGAAGAAGAAATAATCAAACCTCGAACCAAGAATGGCTGGACCATTGCTTCGCGAACCAGGAGTGGCTGGATTTCTTTCCATTCTCTCACTTCCAGACTCTTATCGTTCTAGTGTCAGATCATAAACCTTTATTTTTCCAATCGGTGCATAATGAGAATCGATTGGGAATTAGGAGTTTTTATTTCAATAATTCATGGCTTCTTGAGCCGGATATTGAGGAGATGGTGCGATGAGGATGAAGTAACAGTCAAGGTATTTCGGTTGTGGTGAAAAACTAAGCTTGCGCTCAACTTCTTTGTAAATAGGGCCGAAATAGAAATCGGGATCAGAGGAAACAAAAGCATATTATAAGCAAATTGCTAAAAGATAGTGAAGAAGACGTGTCCAATGTGGATTACTTTGAACTAAGGCGGGAGTGGAATATTTTATCGGAGCAAGAGGACATCAAATATAGACAACAAGCTAAGGAGTTCTGGATGTAGTATGGAGATCACAATGCAAAGTTCTTCCATGGTTACATTAATGGCAGGAGGCAAATAAAAAAAATTTTTAGTTTTGCAGAATATCGCTAGTACGTGGGTGGAGTAACGGGCCGCCATGCATGCAATTATTAAGACTATTTTAATAATCTTTATGTTGGTAATGAAAGTAACACTAATAAAATCATTCGGTTAGTAAAGAAAAAGGTTACTAGTGCAGATAATCATTTATTGTCAAGGCCATTTACTGATGAAGATTTCAAGGAAGTAGTCTTTCAAATGCATTCCGATAAATCTTTAGGGCTAGACAAGTTGAATTCGACATTCTATCAAAAATTCTGGCATGTGGTGGGAAGAGATATTTCAAAGGGGTGTTGTTAGTGGTTGGATAGAGGTATTTTTCCTAACTCCCTTTCTGATACTCTTGTAGTCCTTATCCCTAAGCAAAATACATGTGTGTCTTTGAAAGATTGTAGGCCTATAGCTCTTTGTAACATTTTATATAAAATTTTGTCGAAAACATTAGCTAATAGGCTTAAGCTAGTTCTCCCTCAAGTTATTTCTAAGAGTGGTCGACTTTTATCCCCGGTAGAGTTATCCAAGATAATGTCCTTTTAGTGTTTGAGCTTTTACATAATATGAAGAGGAGACTTAGGGGAGGGGTAGGTGTCTGTGCACTCGAAGTGGATATCACGAAAGCTTATGATAGAGTTAGTTGGAATTTCTTAAGGGACATGATGATAGGGTTAGGGTTTCATGATAAGTGGGTATATTGGATGATGTTGTGTGTGACTGATGTCAAATATTATGTTTAACGTAATGGGGAGGTAGGGGGTCCTATTATTCCTGAGAAAGGGCTTAGACAGGGAGACTCATTGTCTCCATATCTTTATCTAATGTGTGTGGAAGGGTTGTCCTTGCTGTTTAGGAAAGCTGAAGAGAAAGGGAGGGTTCATGGTGTCCGAGCAGGGTTAGATATCCTGGAGTTTCCCATCTCCTTTTCGCAAATGATTCTTTCTTTTACTTCAATGCGTCGTATAGGAAGGGGCAAAATGTGAAAAACATTTTGATTGAGTATGAGAGAGTGTCAGGGCAGGCAGTTAATTTTTCCAAAATCAAGTATTATGTTTAGTCCTAATGTGGAAAGAGGGTTGGAGTCTGTGTCTAATATTATGGATATTCATTACTAGTTAGGGGGGAGCAGATATCTAGGATTACCTTCACTCGTGGGCAAGAATAAAAAGCAAGTGTTTAGCTACTTACAAGAAAGGTTGTGGGATAGGTACACTCTTGGAACAATAAGCAATTATCGAGGGCGGAGAGAAATTCTTCTCAAATCTGTAGCACAGATAATTCCTTCATACTACATGAGTTTTTTTTTTTTTTTTTTTTTTTCTTCATACTACATGAGTTTTTTTTTTTTTTTTTTTTTTTTTTTTTTTTTTTTTTTGTTACTTGTGTCTTTTTGTGATGAGCTACAGAAAATTATGAACTCTTATTCTTGGGAGAGTAGGCAAGGGGGTATAAAAGTATTCATTGGTACTCTTGGGATAGGATGTGTCATAGTAAAAGGGATGGGGGCATAAAATTTAGAGATCTCCATAGTTTTAATATAGTGATTCTGGATAAACAGGGGTGGCATTTAATTACTCGACCCAATACTCTTCTTTCTAGAACCTTCAAAACTAAATATTATCTGGATAGAGATTTTTTATCAGCATCATTAGGGAGAAATCCCAGTTTCACTTGGAAGAGTGTCTTATTATTTAGGGATGTATTAAAAAATAGAGTGAGGTGGAGAGTGAAAAATGGTGAGAGGATAAATATATTTGGATTTGTGGATACCGAATGAGAATACTTTTATGGTGGAGGATGAGATTCATTTTATTGACCCAAGCTTGAGAGTATGTGATATTGTGAGTGAGGATAGGAGAAGGTGGGACTTTAGCAAAATAGTAGAGATGTTTAGCTCCAAGGATATCCAAGCTATTCTTAATATTCCTTTGGATTTGGGCAATAGGGAGGATAGATTGACATGGCATTATGATAAGAAGGGGTGTATAGTGTGAGGTTGAGGTTCTTCCTTGCTCTTAAAATTTTAGGAAGGGGAGGTGAGAGAATGGAGGGAGAGTATTGGAGGAAAATATGGCATTTAAAAATTCCACTAAAAATGAGGGACTTTGACTGGGTTATGAGGGGTATCCTACCAATGAAGGTTAGATTGACAAAGAGGGGGCTAAATATTGATAAAAATTGTCATTATTGTGATGCGGATGAAGACGTGGACCACGTGTTGGTAAGATGTGGTAAAGCTATAGAGGTACGGAGGAGAAGAGGCGTACTTTGTCCTACTACAGGGGTGCCTTTCTCACAATTTCTAAAGCATTTATTGGCTAATAACAATGATGAGAACATATAAGTGGTGGTCTGTATTGCTTGGCAGTTATGACACGATAGAAATGAAGCAGTATGGTCCTATGTCCATCATGATCCGGTGGCCACTCCGGCTATGTCCATGAAGAAGCTTCGAAAGTGGAAGGATGCTACTGTGGAGCTACAAAGCAGGCATCAAATACCCTTACATGGCTCATTCAATATTTCAACTTGGGGAATGGTGAATCTGACAGGTTGGCAGAGTTTTGTTGATGGGGCAGTGTTTATGGACCTCCATATGGTAGGGTTTGGCTGTGTTTTTGAGCTTGCAGAGGGCAATTTTGTTCAAGCATTATCGGGGTTCTTTGATTTGTGTACAGACCCATTATTGGTAGGAGCTTTGGCATTGTGTACATGCTTAACTTGGTTACACTACCATCATCTTTCACCCAGGTGCATTTACACATATTGTCGATCACTTTTATTTGCTTTAAATTCTTCTACTTTACACTTCTTTGAGTTGGGTTTAATTATAAATGATTATAGGAATTTGTTATCATCTAGGCCAAATATGGCTATTCGATGGATTACGAGACAAGCTAACATAGGGGCTCATATATTAGCCGGGGCCTTCTATTCTCATGCTCTTTCCAGGTGTGGGACATTATACCACATTGTTTATTTCACCTTTATAAGTAATGCAAGTTTGGTTTGTTTGCTTTCAAAAAAAAAATCATTAAATTTATTTAAATTATAATAAATTATTGAGTAAATTGACTGTATTATCCTTAATTTAATACTAATTCTCTTTTCCTTAATTTTAATACTAAAATTCCTCTATGAACTATTAAATTGAAGTAAATTATTAGTAATATATAAAAGAGTAAATATGAAAAAAAAAAAATTATTACTCTTTGAAACCACAAATGTGACAAATATTTTGGAACAAACTATTTTCTCAAATGTGACAAGTATTATGTAACAGAGATAGTACTACCGTATGTCAACCTCTTAACATAAATACCATAGCGGTAATAATTAAATAAAAATAAATATGTTCTCTTCCTATAAATTCCAAGAAACAGTGACCACAATGAAAAATAAAATTAGAGCCAATAAATAAAATAACACGTGCTTTTTGGGTAGAGAAAGGATCCGCTTCAAAATAAATAAATATTATTTTTTATAGGAAGAGTCGAAACTAACATTGTAACATGGCATGTCTCCCATCCGAGGGGACCATTTATTTACCTTACCTACCTTTTAATGTACTTATTAATTATTTCTTACCAAAAATATTAGATCTTCTCTTGAAAAGAAAAATCCACTCATCAGTTGTCACTTTCACGCAAAAATTAAGGAAAATAAATATTTTCCTAATTTATCTTTAATATTGCATTAACCGCATTTTCTTCACTTAAAGCCAATTATGTTATTCTCTATTCATCCAATAAAATTAATTAATAACTCAAAAATCAAAAGTAAAGGATTATGAGTAAAATTTTTTAGAAGAAATAATGATTAAGGTGATATATATCCGATATATGTGTACTATATATTATATTGCCTGCATTTTGCATTGTCTGGATTTACATAGATAAGTAAAACATATGCAGCGATTTTTTTTAAATGAGCACTACTTATACATCTTGCAGTGTAGTTTAATACCTACACAGTCGGAATTTTTTTTTTTTTTTTTTTTTTTTTTTGACAGGCCTATTGTTTTTCTTATATAATCGTGATATGATTTTCAATTACTGAATATTTAAGTTAAAACTGAAATCATTCAGTTAAGGTTTGAAATGGGCATAATATTTTAAGTTGTGTGCTGTAGTTTGAAGAAAATTATAGAAATCATGCAGGGAACTAAAATTGCGCCCATAAAATGATTTTTTCATGCATTTTTTAATGAAAGTGGAAAGAAAAAGAGATAAAAATATTGCTTTGTAAATATAGTCACATTCAATGCACTTTGCCACTATCTTAATATTTTCACATATCAATGCAATAAGAGAATCTATATAAAGAGTAATATGGACTAAAGAATTTGATTTTTTTTACCAAAATTAATAATTTTGTCCAAATAAAAGGGTCACCCTAAATAGAAAGTTTGTCTAAATAAATAAAACAAAGGAAGTATATCCTTAGAAAATAATTTTCAAAAATATATACAATTAAAAAACATTTTTCAAATAATTTAGTTTCGTTATAATATTAAAGCCCATTCAGCAATAACATTCAATATAACTTTTACTTTATCATTTATAGTACTCAATGATATAATGTTTACATTAGTGTTTACAGTTTGAAATAGCAACAGATTTAATAGTGAACTACAATAAGTGCGCATTATCAAATATTATTCCACTTAAAGTTTGATAAATGCTAATAGAATGGTTAAAAGCTATAGATAATAAATACTAAAATCGCAAAAGTTGGTCCAACAAAACCGAAGAGTTAGTTAAAAGTTATTAATATTCTAATAAATTATAAAAATATTTAAAATTATAAGAACTTCATATTCTAAAAATTTATTGACATAAAAAATATATAGAAATAATTTTTTTTAGAATACAATTAAAAGACTGTCCATAGACATCAAACACAATTTACAATCAGCAACTCCACAAAAAAAATATCTAACGATTAGTGGAATAGTCAGAAATGACTAGTGATGATAAGATTATGTGGATAATAGTGAGTATTGATAATTGATATATTAATATATGTGAAGTTATAATTTTTATTTTTTAATTATAATAATTTAATAATATTTAGAAAAAAATTTTATTCTTTTAAAAAATGAAGTTCAATACAAAATTACTTACATGTAATTTTTTATTAACCAATTTTACTAAGTATAAAAAACATTTGGAAAGCCTCAAAAATATTCTTCAAGAAAATATTTATCAGAAATAAAGGAGCCTTAACTTTTTCCTAGATACTTAATTTTCGTGTATCTTTAAATTTCATCTAAATATTTATCATTTCAATTTTATTTTGGCTCATATACTAATTTGTATAAATATTAAGGGAGTTACATTTTAATTTAAATTTTAAAAAATAAACACAAAGGAGAACAGGTTGACCACAAATGGCCGCCCGCAAAAGAAGTAAAAGAGAGCTTTTAAATTTTGTGGGAAAGAGTGAGGGGAGCTAGAGTTGTCGCTCTTCAGAAAGTTATGCAGAGAATAATTTAGAATAAAAAATTCATTTGCCTTTACTTTATAAAATATACTTGATATAATAACTTTAAATGAAAATAATAAATAATAATTTAATAACTAAATATATACTTTTTAACTTAACTAATTGGTTCACACAGTTTAGTTGTACGTTTTGAATAGAAATATATATTTTAGCAATTATAAAATCGAATTTGAGTTTATCTAAAACTGCCTTAATTCCGTCAATCAATTGAATCATCAGGTTTAATTATTAAACCCAAGTTGAATCGAATAGATTATTTACGATAGATTAATTAAAATTTTAATTGATTGACCTAATTATAATCATAGAATTAGGGTGAAAGCTAATGAATTCTTGATAGTAAAAATTTTTATCTTAGGATAAAGGGCAATTGTTATCAACAAGGTGTTTTTTTTTTTTTTTTTTTTTTTTTTTTTAAATATTGAAGAAGGTAGATTCGAACCTGAATTTATGAGAATATAAAATATTAATTGAGATGATTAGCGATCTCAATTTCTAAGAACACAAATTCGATCCCTCAATTCGCAATTTACTTGGAAAGGCAGAAATTTTTACGGTCTAGAGAAAACAAAATGCCAATTGTTGTGGTCCTTTTGAGACAGAATTAACATCTGAAGTAACAACTTATCTTCTCTTAAAGGCCACTCATCTGTTCTGCATTTATTTTTCTTGTTTTAACATTTTTTTTTCACTTATATATAATTATATATAATATAATATATATAATATATATAAAAGAAAAAATCACTTGTTGGTAGGGATAAGAAAAAAAGCACGTGGGTCAATTTTCGCTTAGAAATTAATTGGTTCCAATTTTTTTTTACATTTATCAAATATAAATTGTTTTTACTTAAGTTAGGTGCTTTGAATATACGTTTTTATTTTTCAATTCTAGAGTACTACAAAGGGTATCTAATTTGTTTTTTGCATTAAAAAACAGTTTGGATAGTTGTATTTATATAGTTTTTATTATAATAATTTTAAAAATTGAAAAACTTTAAAATATGGAGATCTTTGTTCTTTGGTCATTTTATCACACGGGTTCTTTCATGTTAAATTATAGTTGTATTTATTTACTCCACTGCTTCTGATTTTATTCCTTTACTCACATAAGGTTTCTTTTTTCTTTTTTTTTTTTTTTTTTTCTTTTTTTTTTTTTTTTCCTCCTCTCTTCTGAACTCCTTCTTATCACAACTTTTGTCGGAATTGGGATAACAATAACTCCTCCTTTAAATAAGAATAGTTACTCCTACAAGTTTGTACTTATATGGCAAGGAACATTAAATTAATTATTATTTTTTTTTTATTTATGAAACTAAACTGTAAATATCATATTATAATTTTATTAAAAGTATTTTTTTTTTTTTTTTTTTTTTTTTTCCTCTCTCTTCTGAACTCCTTTTATCACAACTTTTGTCGAATTGGATAGGACAATAACTCTCCTTTAAATAAAGAAATTAGTACTCCTACAAGTTTGTATTATATGGCAAGGAACTATTAAATTAATTATTATTTTTTTTTTTATTTATGAACTAAACTGTAAATATCATATTATATTTATTAAAAGTATTTTGATAAATCTGTCATCTTTAAAAATTTTTGATAAATGAAAACAATATAAAAATTAATTATATATATAATTCATGATAAGTGACTAAGTAATAGAACAGAATTGAATTTAATGGACAATTCCAAAAAAAAAATTATTTATGGAAAGAGACTGTCTTAAACTCCAAAATATGTATAAGGTCCGATGGAATTTAATTAAAAAGGAAGGCATGAAAGTGTAGTCATTTTTATTCTCTCTAATTAAACTCCACCGCACCTTTATGTCATCTAAATCTAAATCGATAGGACAGTGATTATTGTTATAATATCTTTTTATATGTAATTTCACTCTCAAACATTCAATTGATTTCAAATATTTACACCCTTTAAAAAAGAAGAAAAAAAAACAAAAAAACAAATAAACAGAGAATACCACTACAAAACTTTTTAAGAGGATAATAAATAATAATGATAATAAAAAAATGAGAATCCTGTATACATAACAGATACTTTCTTTCATTTAAGTTTATCCCATTGGTTTCTTGTTCCCTGACTGTCAATCCCACATCCTCTCATTTTCTCCTTTGTTATAACTTTCCCTTTTATTTTTCATTTTTAATGGAGCTTGGAGCTTCTTCTTGGCTTTTTGAAACTCTCCAATCCATCTATTTCTTTCTCATACTAGCTTTTATCACTTTCTTCCTTTTTGCTTTCTTTCTTTACTTGGTTAGATTAAAACTTTGGTGCAACTGTGAGGTATGTGATGCTTATCTCACTTTAAGTTGGACAAAGCAATTCGTCAACCTTTGCGATTGGTATGCTCATCTTTTGAAAAACTCTCCTTCAAAAACAATCCATATTCATGTTCTTGGTAACATCATAACAGCCAATCCAGAAAACGTTGAATATATACTCAAAACAAGATTTGAGAATTACCCAAAAGGGAAACCTTTCTCCACTATTTTGGGTGACTTTTTAGGTCAAGGTATTTTCAACGTTGACGGCGATTTATGGAGGTTTCAAAGAAAAATGGCGAGCCTGGAGCTTGACAGATTCTCAATAAGATCATACGCATTCGACATCATTCGTTTTGAGATTGAAGATCGCCTTATTCCACTTCTAAAGTCAATTTCAATCAAAGAAGATAGAGTTATAGACTTGCAAGACGTGTTTCGAAGATTTTCATTTGATAGTATCTGTAGATTTTCCTTTGGTATTGATCCAAGATGTTTGGAGATTACTTTACCCATATCGGATTTCGCTGTTGCTTTCGACTTAGCTTCGAAATTATCAGCTGAAAGAGCCATGACTGTTTCTCCACTTATTTGGAAGATCAAAAGGATGTTTAATTTAGGTACTGAGAAGAAAATGAAAGAAGCTATAAAGCTTATTAATATTTTAGCACAAGAAGTTATAAGGCAAAGGCGGAAAATGGGATTTCTATCTCAGAAGGATCTCTTATCTCGTTTTATGCATACTGTAAATGATGATACTTACTTGCGAGATATTGTTATAAGTTTCCTTTTAGCTGGCCGTGACACGGTGGCTTCTGCCTTGACAAGCTTCTTTTGGCTACTAGCTAACTATCCGCAAGTAAGATTAGCCATTTTAGATGAAGCAGATAAAGTTCTTGGTCTGAATCAAGAACTCAAAAGCTTCCAACAATTGCGAGATCTTCATTATCTACAAGCAGCAGTTTATGAAAGTATGAGATTATATCCTCCCATTCAATTTGATTCCAAATTCTGTGAAGAAGATGATTTTTTACCAGATGGGACTTTTGTTAAGAAAGGAACCAGGGTTACTTACCATCCTTACGCAATGGGAAGGATCGAAGAAATATGGGGTCAAGATTGTTTAGAATTCAAGCCAGAAAGGTGGTTACGAGATGATGGTATTTTCTTCCCTGAAAACCCTTTTAAGTATCCAGTTTTTCAAGCTGGTCTACGAGTATGTTTAGGTAAAGAAATGGCTTTATTAGAACTAAAGTGTGTGGCTATTTCCTTACTTCGACGATTTCATTTCGATTTAATCACCACCACATACCACACGCCACGATTCTCTCCAGGTCTCACTGCCACCTTTAGCGGTGGGCTCCCAGTTCTGGTTCGAGAGGCAGTAACTATTTTTCCTCCTCATGATCATAGTAATCAATCAGATAGTTGATTATATGCATGTATTTATACTGGGTTTATACTTGTATATGTCCATTTTCCATTGGTTGTGTAGTTGTGGATATTGATTGGAGCAGATTCATATCTACCAAATCCAAAGAAGAAGACATGATCACTAAATGGCTTTGTATGTTTAAGCACCATACCCATAATGTCGGTTGGTGTTGGCAGAATTAGGAATTTATTTTCACGTGTTCAATTTTCTTTTTGGTTTTATGCAAATGTGTGGATATGTGTATATTCTTTCTGTATTGGAGTACAGTTGCTTTCATGTATATAGGGCACAACACCACAAAAAGCTCCATTTTTTTTTTTTTTTTCTTCTGCAATCCTCTACTGAAAGTTGTTCAGACCTATGTTTAGTTGATTTGATCAAGTACATGTATGTTCAGCTTTATTGTTCTTGCATTGCTTTTTAAGGAATAAATTTGGTGGATATGATTTTAAGCTAGAAATTAAAACTTTGTCAGTTGTGTGTTTCCTTCCTTTTTGTGTTATTTATCTTCATTTACTTTTGGTAATTATTACATTTCACTTTAGCTAATTAATATGTTGGCGGATTCAGGATTAGACTTCAGGTGATCATTTCCATTCTCTATCTTCCCTCCCCTTTTCCCTATACCTAAGAGGAAAAACATAAACTAATGTGTTTTTTAGTCTTTTAGAGATTGGAAATCCTAACCATGATCTTCATTTCTTCATTTTTCTAATTACAAGTGATTAGGTTCTTCTTTGTTTTTTCTTTCTTCTTTTTCAACCACCCGGTATTCAACACGGTTCTTCTTTTTCCTTTTATTTATGAATTAACCCACAATATTTGTCATATACTTTTTCAATTAGAGTACACTTAATATCGCTTTGTATTGAAAATTAATTAATTAAATACAGTCAATTCATTATATACTTGAACATATAAAATTCATTTGATATTTCCAACGATGAATTTCATATATATAATTATAAGTGAAATCAAATTGCATCAAGAATATTAAATGAATTTAAAAATATTAGCATGTGATTGAAAGTCATTTATTCTTTATGATTTTCTTTAAATAATAAGATTTGGTCCATGATTTTTTTTATTATTTTAATTTCGATCGAGGAATTAAACTCGAGATCATACAGTTTTATGAATAATTTTAATTCCATTAAAGTAAATCCAACTCATTGATGACTATGAAAATATTTTATAAGTATAAATCTGTTTCTCTCTAAATATTATAATTAAAATGCCAGCAATTGGAAAAAAAATTTTGTACGATACACACTAAACACACATTCCCTATTTTCTTTGTAAAAAAAAAAAAAAAAAAAAAAAAAAAAAAAAAAAAAAAAAAAAAAAAAAAAAAAAAAAAAAAAAAAAAAAAAAAAAAAAAAAAAAAAAAAAAAAAAAAAAAAAAAAAAAAAAAAAAAAAAAGAAGAAGAAGAAGAAGACAGAAGTACATAAAAACTAGTTGAAAACGAGGTAATTGAGTATGGTAAGGGAGATAGTTCACATTCACATGCCTCTTGTTACATATCCACGAGCCTTTCAACAGTACCAATGTCGGCCCCTGCATAAGCAAAGGTGCCTCTCATGTTTTTATTTTTTTATTTCTTTATATCAAAAATTATAAAATCCTTTGAATATATTAATTATCCTACTGCAAACATTTTGTACATTATTATTGGTCGTTGATTTCAGCTAAAATTCTCACGCCAAATGTATGGATTTGCTCCTCAAATTTACTCGACTTATTTTATGGTACTCTTAAGTTTGTGGAGACCTATTATTATCTTACACTTTCACATTTCAGTAATAATTATATTTATCGTCAAAACGAAATAACTTTACAAGAGGTCAATTATGACTCTATACTTTTATATTTTATTTTGGCGAGTGGTATAATTATTACTGAAATGTGAAAGTAAAAGAGTCATGATAAATTCTCCGCAAACTTGAAAGTGCCAAATGACAAATCGCATGAACGTCAGAAATAAATTTATTATTACGATAAAATTCTCACAGTTGGAATATGGACATGTTGGTTTTTGCACGATTTGTCTTGTTTATAAACCTAAAATTGCGACCATTGTGATATGGGCATTGTTGTTTTTTGCAAGATTTGTCTTTGTAGTATTAATTGTTCTTTTTGTTATACTTGCAAAGGAGAAAAAATTTTCTAATTATGTATAAATCAAATTAAATTAAATTAAATTAAGTTGTTGGAGTTTACTTAGAATTACTCAATTGGTTGTATTTGCTTATATAATGTTTTATTGGAAGAAGGAATAGATTCTATTTTCTAACATCAATTAATTTTTCAGCAAATAACAAATTTTATATGCTTCAGACTTGTTTTTACGTGTCTTTTGTGTGATATAATTTTTTAATTTTTGTATAATTAATATTTTAAAAAAAAAGAAAATCAAATGTACTAAATTATCTATGTTTTTACAGTTAGACAATGGCTTCATATGTTACCATTAAACCATGTTTGTTCTCAAGAATTTCTATTCCCAACCAGAGTTATGAAGACTTGCTACTTGCTATGGTAATTTCATGTTTCAAAAAGATTGAAGATGTTTTTCCTAAATAATTATTGGTCTACGGCCTTGGGCCATAAAATGCGTAAGCCATCTTTTAGTGGATCGTGGGCCCTTTAACCCAATCCAATCCATTGAATGATGACTTCTATCATATGATTAGACAACATGGTTTAAGTACTATTTTTTTTTTTTTTTTCTTTTGATGAATATGGAGTTTATATATATTAGCATTTTTTTTATGATGTCTGTTGAACATTGCCATTACTCATTATTTATATCTGTTTGTTTTTTTCTGTTATATAATAATATTAAGCATTAGTCATGATTTTCCTTTTATATTATTGAGATTTTTATAATATTAAAATATTATTTCGATTAATGTGAATATAATGACTAATTAATAAAATTATAATCAAAATATTATAATTTATATATAATTCAACTTTATTTATAAACAGCTATATATCCAATATCTACTCTAATTATTTACAATGTCACAAATATTATCTATTAAACACATTTCAATATATGTATATGCATATATAATTGTTTCTGCTAAAAAATTTAGGTATGTGTCTGCAGATTTTAGATAGGTGCATACACAATCAATTTAATTAAAATCAAATAAAAGTAAATTAAATTTTAATAATGAAAACTTATTAGAATATAATAGAGTGCAAAATCAAAATGGTTGGATCGGTTTACGTGTACTTTTTAGGTTGGTTGGTTTGTTTAAGGATTTTTTTTTTTTTTTTTTTTTTTTTTTGTTTAGGATTTTTTTTTTTTTTTTTTTTTTTTTTTTTTTTTTTTTTGAACTTCACTGGAAACCAAGACCGAACAAAAAAAAATTTCAATTTATCTATGCAAATTGAAAAACCAATCCAAATTGGTTCAACTCTAATTTTTAACAATTATAAGTTTAAGAAAGGGTATAGGTTTTCCTTCTTGGAGAGACTTTAAACCAAAACCTCAGCTAAGTGCAATTTAGACCACTGATCTTGGTATTAGGCTTCTGATCATCCATCTATTCCGATCAAGTGTGAGGCTCTAGCCCGAGCGCCAAAGTCTAATCCTCTAAACAAGATCGCTTGATTTAGGGTTGTGTGGCAAGGTTTAGGAATTGAGTAATAATTTGATTTTCTTTTTGGGTACTTACTAGAGTTTCAAGAATCTGCCTTTATAAATTAGGGGCCTAAAAGATTAGGTTTAAGTGTTAAATTAAATTTTATTTTGAGACCACTTTATTATATAAAAATAGAATTAAATACATAAGAAGTAAACATTACAAGTAGTTTCTAGATAAAAGTGTAACGTAAATTAAGAATTTATACTTTAATATTATATAAATAAGAACTTATGCTTATGCTTTAATATTAAGTTCTTATTCTAAATAAGAACTTATGCTTTAATATTATATAAATAAAAAAAATTAAAGAGTACAAAAAACGTGTATAGAATGAATATAGTCAATATGCTATACACATCATTAGAAAAAACTAGTCTATACTATATATAAATGTGATAAAAGACGAGGAATAATGAGATTTCTTATTATAGCCTTAGTTTAATTTGGAATTCCTAATATATCATTTTAGTTAGATTTTTTATGCATTTAATTGGAGAAAATAGGTCTATTTATCATTTTAAAGATATTTTTTTAGTTATTTTTTTATGCCTTTCAATTTGAGAAAATAGATTCTATTTATCCTTTTGAATATCCTTTTATTTATTTTTTATATGCATTTTAATTTGATAAATATCACTACAAAAAAAACGCCAAATTGCGACCGATTTATCAACTAGCAAAAAAAACGCCAAATGCGACGATTTTTGCGACCGACAAAAATCGGTCCGCAATATTGAGACGCGTTGCGACTCATTTTGGCAAACAGTCGCAGATTTTAGCGCCGAAAACTCTCGCGAGTTTTGCCTTCCATTTGCGACTGAATTTACGTAACTGCAATTTGCGACGCGAGTTATTGCGGACGGCTTAACGACCTAACAAAGAGTCTTCTGGTCGCAAAATGCGCGCGTAAAAAAGGGATAAATTTCTGAGACCCGAATTGAGATAATAATTGCGAACCGATTGTTTCTTGCGACCGACTATTTCAGTCGCCAATCGGTCGCAAATTCTCGCGTAGTAAACGACGTCCGGACAATTGAAAATTGCGACCCCGATTTTAATTACCTGTTGCGACCGCATTAATGTCCGGTCGCAAAGGTTGTACGGGCTTTAAACCGCGCCCTCTTCTTTTCTCTTTCTCATATGCCTTCTCATTGCATCTCTTCTCCTCTCTCCTCTCCTCTCCTAGCCGTCCGCAGCAGCCGCTCCAGCCCCTCCTGAGAACGCTCCAGCCCTGTGACGCGCGACCGAAGACGCTCCGGTCCACGTCGATCTACGCCGTTCGCCACCGTTTGGACAGCATTTCGGTAAGGCCGGTTTGCATTTTATTTTTTTCGAAATGGTTTTTTTTTTTTTTTTTTTTTTTTTGCGATTTTTTGTGTTTTTCAATTTATTATTATTGTTACTTGAATTATTGAATATTGTTAAATGTTGTTTGTTAGTGGTGTGTTGTTATTGTTTATTAATTATTAATTAATATAAGGTATGTCTTATAGCTAGTTTAGCCTTTTTTTTGTTTATACTGTAAACGAAATTGATAATGTTGAGCTTCTTAGGTTGTAGTGATTGGTGATTGGCCCTATTGTTTAGTGTCTAATTATTATTAAGCTGAGATTTGGTTTCCTTTTGTTTATTTATGAATTATTAAGGCGATTATTTTATGGGTTTGTTTCAAACTTCATAATATTCAATTAATTAAATGAGTTCAATAGATAAATTTATCATAAAATTGAATTTAATCAAAA